GGGACTTAGGAGAATTAGAGGATATGTCTCTATTGAAACCTAGAAAAGGAATATGGGTCCATTCCTGCCGCACCAGAGAATCAGGAAAGATCTAGGCTGGTTGTAATGAAAGGCCCCATGGCAAGAAAGTGATGACCTATGCAGAAAGTGCAGTGGTTGGAGATGTTAGAGTCTGAGATCATTCAGGCCCTTCCTAACCTTGGTGGAGATTTTTTTTTTGTTGAATTTAAATACCGTGGGAAATGAACAAAAGGTTTTACTACGTAAATGTTCCCTCAACAGCAGAAAGGAGAGCTCTAGAAGGTTCTTAGTCTGGTGTAGGGGCTAAGTGGAGAGGTAGCATTCGGTGGTGCCGTGAAGGTAAAGTGGGCAGAGCTGACGCCAGTTTTTAGAGAAGGAAACTAGTGTGATTTAGACGTACAACTCGGAGCTTGATGACATCCAGCTTTCTGGCTCGCGTGACTGTCAGCCGTGTCATTTACTGAGGTGGAAAGCTGGGGGAGGAGCCTGTTGGTTGTGGAAGATCAAAAGTTTAGGGCAGGCTTTATGGAGGAGGTAAGCCTGCTTGTGGTCAGACATGAGACGTTGTACAAAGATGAGTGCCAGGTGAAGGTGCATCACAGACCTGGAGGCTTTAGCAGGGAGAAAGCACTTTCGAGAAAGGTCTGAGGAAGTGGCTGGAAGATGGCACGTGGGCTTGCTTACCTGTGAGGGTTGGGAGGCACTTGGATTCATCTAAGAAATAGAGAAACCATGTGAACAAAAGTCTGTAGACAGGTATGTTTGTGAATTAGTCATAAAAGCAACTCAGGTTGAGCCAGTAAACAGGGAGGAAACAGTGAAAAAGGACCTAGCTAGGTGCCATGTGAGCCCTTCATTGGACGAGCAGCTACCATAGCAGTATCAGAGCTGAATTTCAGAACTGGGTAACTTGACATACCAAGCTGCTCGCTCTTGCTGTTTGAATGTCTGCAGATACTGCAGCTGGTTTTCTAAACTTTAAAATGATTCCTCTGGTGACTTTGTGTCTGAGCAGAGTGACAGAGATGGAGTAACTGTCCTTAAAATTCCAGTCCTGCTCTCACTGTTGAAGTGCTGTGTTTGAAAGACTTGAAGGGTGGCACTGTCTCCCATAAAGAGCTGTAAGGTTGGTTTTTCCTTTATGAGCCTCGACCCTCACTGTGCCCCATAGTTCTGACCCGTAAAGTCTTTTTTAGACAGTGGTCATGGAGGAAAATAGACTTTAGGGGAAAGCGCTGTCACTTTGAAAACCTGTTGTGACTGAAGAGATAATTTGGCATGCGTAAGAAGCACTGAGTAACGCCTGAAGCCAGATGACTACTACTCCAGCCACAGCTTTTGGCTTTTTGTTATGCATACTTTCTCTGATACTATAATCTTTTGAGGTTCTGCAACCTTCTAGGACTTACTGCTAACAAGATGGGTGACTGTCCTAAAATTTTTAGTTATGTTCTTGCTGTATTTCAGAGAAAAATACTTAGAGGGAGGTGGCATCTCTTATAAAGAGCTGAAGGGTTGAACACCCAAAGTTTCTTTGTCTTAGCATGTTTTTGCTAACTCCCACAGGGATCAATATGGTTTTGGAGATAGTCGAGATACAAGGCGTGATCGCTCTCCAATTCGAGGAAGTCCAAGGCGAGAATCCAGGGATGGCAGAAATGGACGGGATGCCCGGGATAGCAGAGACATTCGAGACCCTCGGGAGTTGCGGGACCACAGAGACAGCCGGGACATTCGGGATCACAGAGACAGCAGAAATATACGTGATGCTAGGGACCTGAGGGATTTTCGGGACTTCCGTGATCTAAGAGACTCTAGAGATTTTCGAGATCATCGAGACCCTGTGTATGACAGATACAGAGACATAAGAGACTCCCGAGACCCTCTGTACAGGTATGTCCAGAGCTTGCCCTTCTGCCTTTTTGTTTGGGGCACTTACCGAAAACTCTATATAAGTAACCTTAAATTTCCTTATATCCTATCAAGTAGCATTCAGTAAGTTTGCTGAATATGTAAAGGATTGATGAATTATGCTTATTAAATGCACCTGGAGCCAAGTGGTGGTCGCATACTCCTTTAGTCCTAGCATTCAGGAGGGAGAGGCAGGCAGATCTCATGAGTTCAAGGACAGCCAGGGCTACACAGAGACACCTTGTCTCAAAACAAACAAACAAACAAGCAAGCAAGCAAGCAAGCATCTGGATCTGTCTGTGTTGTGAAAGACAATGTCGTACAATGAAAGCAGAAGTAGGGTGAATTAGGTTGGCCATATAAGAACGCAGGGAATACATAGGTAGCCAGCAGATACATGAAAGTCGTTCTGCATCGTGAGTTATCAGGCAAGTGCAGATGAAAGCCACAGTGAGAACCCACTTCACACCTGCTAGGATACCTTTAATGATTTTTGGGAAAGATGCAGAAAATAATTATTAGCAAGATATGTACAGTTGTATATAATTACATGGGTTAATGGCCAGGTGTGGTAGCGTATACCTGAGATATCTCCAGCATACCCTGGGAGATGAAGCAGGAAGACAGTTCAAACCACTGTGAAAAAAGGCTCAGGAGTTCTTTATTCAAGAACATGGGCTAGGGAAATGACTTGGACAGTGAAGGATCTGCTGCACAAACATGAGGCCCTAAGTTCCGATCCCCAGCCCCCACCAACAAGCCAAGCATGATCTCTGCATCTGTAGCCACAGCACTGAGGTGGTAGAGACAAGTGGATCCCTGGAGTTCTTGTTAGCCAGCTTTGACAAATAGATAAGCTCCAGGTTTAATGAGAGTCTCTTTCTCAAAAAATAATGTGAAGCGCAATCATGGAAGGCACAGGACAGCCTTTGGCCTCCAAACACTCAGTGCAGACACCACACTCACCAAGTTAAAGGACTGAGGAGGATTCATATAGTCATGTATGAGTGTGCCTAGCAGCACTATCAATATAAATCACAGGCAAAGACAGCCTAAATATTCACCAGCAGATGATTGGATTAGAAGTGTTAGATACTACCCATATCATACAATGGAATTACGTTCAGTCTTAGTACTGAATGAAATGCTGGTAATGTTAAGACACAGGTAGACACTGAGAACATTTTACTAAGAAATAAGCCAGACACAGAAAAGCAGATACTGTGTTGGGTCCACTGGTGGTGCACGCCTTTAATCCCAGCACTCGGGAGGCAGAGCCAGGCAGATCTCTGTGAGTTCGAGGCCAGCCTGGGCTACCAAGTGAGTTCCAGGAAAGGCACAAAGCTACACAGAGAAACCCTGTCTCAAAAAAAAAAAAAAAAAAAAAAGACATGAAATAGAGATTTCCTGGGCTAGGGAAAGCAGACAATTGATGAATTCTCTTTGAGGTTGTCCAACAATTCACAATGGATAATGGTAACAGCTACATGGCATTGGGATTGTAGCACCGATGAAGTGTACACTTAGATGGTTTAATGCCCATTATGGTGATGCACACCTGTGATACCAGCACAGGAAAATGAGGCAGGGACATTCAAAGCCAGCCTTGGCTGTAGAGCAAGTTCAAGGCCACATGAGATCCTGCTGAAAAAAAAGTTAAAAAAATGGCAAATTGTTGATACTTTACTACAGTTTTTTTTTTTTTTTTAGATTTATTATATATATCTGAGAATGAGTGCTTTATCTGCATGTATGACTTTATGCCAGAAGAAGGCATCAGATCCCACTATAGATGGTTGTGAGCCACCATGTGGTTGCTGGGAATTGAACTCAGGACCTCTGAAAGAACAGCCAGTGCTCTTTAACTACTGAGCCATCTCTCCAGCCCCCTTAGTACAGTTTTTTAAAAGTGCAGAGAAGAGCTGGGCGCACGCCTTTAATCCTAGCACTCGGGAGGCAAGACCAGCCTGGTCTACAGAGCAAGATCCAGAACAGACACCAAAACTACATGGAGAAACCCTGTCTCAAAAAAA